CGCCTCGGCGCTGCCCCGCCTCCTCCCCTGTCGCAGCCCCTCTCTAGAAATGTTTCCATTCGCACCGCGTCAGCCTGCGCACGTTTTGGTCCCCGCGGCGCCAGGTCAGTATTTCAGCCCCGGTGTCGGATAAGGGCCTGACTGTCAACAACGCCCTATGTCACTTTCAGGCCGTCGGAGACGGGTGCCCAGCCGGTACCCGCGGTCAAGGCTGCCCTCCCGCGCGGACGCGCGTGGCGAACCCAGGCGAGGCCCCGACCCGCCCGGGCGGGGGTGGGCACGGCCTCCTGGGCGCCACCTTGTACCTTGTACTCTTATCCGTTTACGGGCCCGCCTGTGCGCCGGGTGCCAGCCCTTGGACAGCGAGGCCCTGCCCTCCTTGCCTGTGTGTCCCCGGTGGCTAGCACTGTGCCCGGCTCTTAAGGGAGCTCGGTTGGCATTTGATGCGTGAAGGCACTGACTTTAACAAGCGCTCGCTTCAGCCTCAGAGGCCTTCACCTGGCTTCCCCAGACACCGTCAGCCCCTCCCTACCACAAATCCCTGCCCCTTTAAACCCCGCTCTGTCTGCTCTTTTCACTTACTAGTGAAGTTTCTCCAAATAAAAAATATGTCAGTGTGCGTCCGGAACCTAAAATGCCACCTCAGTATCCTAGCCCTGCCTCTGTCGCCGCATGGTTCCTTAGGTGTGGCAGGGAGTGTGCGGTGGCAGCCGGGCGTGGCACAGGGAGAACCGAGTTCTCGGTGTCGGGCACCTCGGTGGCCTCGGGCAAATTATGANCACCTCAGTATCCTAGCCCTGCCTCTGTCGCCGCATGGTTCCTTAGGTGTGGCAGGGAGTGTGCGGTGGCAGCCGGGCGTGGCACAGGGAGAACCGAGTTCTCGGTGTGTCGGGCACCTCGGTGGCCTCGGGCAAATTATGACAAGCATCCAGTGAGGGCCACATCTCACCTTGGACTTCCAAAGATTTATCCCTTACTTCTGTTAATATAAAAGAAGTGGGAAGCACGGAGCGGTGTATAAACGTTAGTCCTCTGTATTTCAGTTCAGTGTTCTCGGTTGAAACAATACTCTTGTCTGACTCAACTCTCTGGTCATTTTTTAGGACAAATGAAAAAAAAAAACAAAAAACACCGAGGAAGTATCTGAAACCACGTGAGATAATTTCCCCAGCCTTCGTTTACACAAACCAAGCTCACATATTTTCATCAGAGGCTAGTATTTTCACTTTCAAAGAATAGCACAAGGGGGTATTTTGGAGAGAGATCACTGCCTGCAGTGGAGATTGTGTAAGGAAAACTTGCTCTTAGGGTTTTCAAAAGTAATGAAAATATTTGTTTAATTGGCTGTGTATAATATTGTTATGAGAAAAATCATTCTCACAAAACAAATAGAGTACTGGTTATGAGAAAAGTGGTTTTGTTGGTATCTTGGGAAAACAGTTTCTTTGGTATCTTAATATCTCTGAATAATTTTGGACTAGATATAACTTCTTTTGGTTGTTTCAGTGGATTTGAGAAAAAGAGCTCATTAGTGCTGAGGCGAAAGCAAGGAAAGTGTTTCTTTAGAATTTCTGGAAGAGACTAATCCAATCGTGGTTTGGTTGCAACAATAATGGACCTAACATGACTGACAGACTGTAGAACCAGATAGCTCAAGTTCTGATCATTTTTCGTACAAGCTATGTGACACTGGTCCACTTAATGTCTTTGTGCCTCAGTTTCCTCATCTGTAAAATGGAGTGCTCACCCCATAGTGTTGTCATGAGTATTATAACAACTAATATATGGAACCTGCTCAGGAATGTGCCTGCACGTAGTAAGCCACAACATAAGGGTTGATGACGATGATAATTTTCACATAGGTTTCTCACTTCCATAGGTTGGAAAGGAGGCTTTTCATGTTTTTAAGGAGCAAATTCTATACCAGCTGTAGATCATTAAATTATCTTAGACAATGCAATCGTTCATCCTGGCCATCTTCCTCAAATGATAAATTACGGTAAAAAGTATACAATTAAATGGCTCTCCCTGCTGGATAACATAGGGATTGCAATGCACTTGACTAAATTATACCTGCAAGAAGTTTTTACTTTTATAAATTGGGGGGGTGGGGGAGGGGGGTGGAGTTGTAGCTGTGGTTATAAAACTAATGAATAGTACAAACAAAATACATAAATATATAATTTTAGAATGAAAATTTTTACTTGTTTTATTCTCTCACCCAGAGAAGGTCATAGTAATAACAATAGTGACATTTGCTGGGAGTTTTCTATGTGCCTGTGTTTCACAGCCATTTTGAGGTGTGCACTGCTATGATCTTTATATAGACAAGAAGACTGGGGAATAAAGAAATTGAGTAGCTTGCTCAAGACTGCACAGTCCCTGACTGGCAGAGCCACACTCCACCCTAGGCAGTTTGACACCAGAGAGAGTACTATTTACAATAACCACTCATAAGAGTTTGGGATATAGTTCTCCAAAAGTTTCCTTCTTTCTTTCCTTTCCCTCGCAAATATCCAACCCATTACCAAGTCTCGGGCAGTCTGAGTTCTAGTTCTCACTGACCCTATGTTTGCTTCCTGTCTAATCTTTGGCCAATCTCTCTTCCCTGACCATGCAAACTTTTAATTATCTCGACTCTTTCACCCCTTTTTCCTTCTTCAGCCAACTGTAATCTCTCTTCTACCTGTGATGTGATGGTAAAAGCTTAACAACCAACTTTATGAAGAAAAAAACAAACCTTGATTTATAACAACTGCCAATTTCCATAGTGTAAATACACCCCCATGGCTGATTTCCAGCTACCAACTTGATGTCGCTGAATACAGGGGTAGGAAGAAATATGCACAATCATTTGTCTCAAGCTAGTAAGAGCACTCCATTGCATCTACCCCCATATCTTATAAAACTGCTCTATTTTTCAAAGGTTTCCAGTAAGCTCGTATTTGCAAATTCAGTGGACGTCATTGGCCTCTTTGTTGCACCAGGTACTTTAATGTCTCCCTACATGAAACTTTCTACCTTCTTGGCTTCCATGAAGATGTTAAAGCCCAGTGCCCAAAGACCACCAGGAACACACCTGTAGTCACGTTAGATTTATTAAGCTGCTGCAGCAAGGGAGAATGGAAACCATGGGGCACTCGGATTGTCTCAGTGAGAGGGTGTTAGGAAGGCCTAGTGGTAAGATTTAGGCTTATTTAGATAGTTTTGGAGAGAGTGGTCTTGTTTTTGACTTGCTCTGTCACAGTTACAGAATGACCTTGTCTGATGTTCATATTCTGTGAAGTTATTTATTGTTTATGCTTAACATTGGATCCTGGCCTAGCTATTGGTGGCCAGGCCAACTGCCAACTGTCTGGGATCCTTTTTTCTTTCTTTCTTTCTTTCTTTCTTTCTTTCTTTCTTTCTTTCTTTCTTTCTTTCTTTCTTTCTTTCTTTCTTCTCTTTCTCTCTCTCTCTCTCTCTCTCTCTCTCTCTCTCTCTCTCTCTCTCTTTCTTTTCTTTCTTCTCTTTCCCCCCTCTCTCTCTCCATCCATCCCTTCCCTTTCTCCTAAATGTGCTAGTCTTACCCTATACCCCTCTTCAGCTCTCACCCAGTGTTGTATTCTCTGGGTTTCTATCCTTATAGGACTCTTCTGTTAATTCTATACATTTTCTTTGTTACACCATCATTTTCATGATTTCAACTCCTACTTATATACTCTTTAGCCCACACTTTTCCTCTATGCTTCAAACTTTTTTTTTTAATATGTCTTTATTGATTTCAGAGAGAGGGAGAGAGAGAGATAGAAACATCAGTGATGAGGGAGTCATTGATCAGCTGCTTCCTGCATGCCCCCCACTGGGAATCGAGCTCTCAACCCGGGCATGTGCCCTGATCTCCTGGATCATAGGTTGATGCTCAACCACTGAGCCACACCAACTGGGCTGGTTCAAACTTTTACATTCAACTTCCAGCAAGATGGTGCCACCTGGATTCTCCCTCAAACATAACCTCAACCAGTACAGAGTTCAAACTGCCCTCTCTTCTAAACCACTATCTTCTTCCTAAAGCCTCTATAGCACCTCTAGAATCTGTCACTGAAACTGAACTCAAGATCACCCTTGACTCTTTCCCTTATACCCAGTTTAAATGCAGTAGTTGAGAGGCTTGCCGTCTGCCCTGCTTCTCAACTGTTTCTACAGTGCACGCTCTTAGCTCCATCCCTGCTACTCCTGCCCTGGGTCATTTGCCTTAACTGCCCAGCTGCCCCCCACCTGCCCCCCTGTCTGCTGCTCTGAACACTCCCCCCCTCCCAAGTCTTTCTTCCCTGAGACTACAAAAATGACCCCGCTAAGTGTGCACCTGTCCCTGACACTCCTTCGTGCACCTCACTGATTCTTCATCACTCCTACCATCGGGAATGAAATTCCTAAAAGTGACGCAAATTTCTCCATGGTCTGGCCTGTTAGCCTCTCCAGTCTCATCTCTCACCTCTGCTTACTTTACACTTTCCTGTCTTTTTTTTCTCTCTCTTTCTCATATACATGCTACTATTTTTGCCTTTACTCCTAAAGTTATTTCTGGGATTTTTTTTTTTTTTTCCAGTCCCTGTCCTATTTACCTGGTTATTTCCTACTGATCTTTTAAGATCTGCTTCATGCTCCCATGTCTCTCAAGAAAACTTCCCTGAATCTTGGCATGTTCCCTGTAGTCCCACCTCCAATCTAAGGTAATGATGTACTCTTTTTCTATGTTCCCAGAACCC